AGCATGTTGGACTATGGAGAGGTTTTATGAAGACTTTGTTAAAAAGCATTCATACATTAGCTATTTTTTTTAATCTTACGAACTATTTTCATTGAAATTTGGCTTAAAATATTTACCATTTTAAAACTGGAAAAGAATTAGAGTCAAATTTCAGATTGAGACTTCTAAGAAAAAATATATATAATTGTAGCATCAACATGCCAAAAGAAGAAAATTATGGGAATAAACTAGTCAGCTGAATGCATGTTTCAGCATGGGAAGAGGTGGCATAGTGAAATAAAAAGCTCTGACTTCACAGTCTAAAGATTGAATCATTTCCTATCTTTATCCCTAACTTAACATTATGATCTTGAGCACTTAACCTCTCTGGGCTACAGTTTTGTGGTCTATAGATTGGGTATAACAATACCTGCTCTACCTATACCCCAGCATTATTGAAAGGCTCAAATAAAATGTTTGTGAAAACATTTTATAAAACTAGCACAAGCTGTGCTAGTGTTATTTTGCTTTTGGCAGTAATGAATGCTTAGTTATTGCTGCATAACTGTTTTTTCCATCTCTGGCTAGTGATCAGCAGAGGTGTCTTCATTGGTCATCTTGATAAATATATGATTTTCTACCCTGCTATTAATCAGAGATTAAGTCTGGCAAATTTTGGAAGGAGAGAGGAAGAGATAGACGTGGTAGGCTAGTATTTCCAAAAGAATGAATTGGTTCATGGTTGATTTATGATATTTTGTTCATCTCTAGAAAATCCAGAGAGAATCCTAAAAATAAAGTGACAATGTTTTAAGTTTAACTTTTAAGGATGTAATAGTCTATCATAATTTTATTTGCATGTTTTCCAGTGAACAGCCTGCTGTGATGTTTTTAATCATTTGTCTTGCTCGTTAAATGAATCAATGCCTTCAGATTGTGAAATATTTTATATAATAAACTCTATAAAGAGCCATTTCCCTTCGTTTTCTCCCTTTCATTAATGTTTTAAAATCCCCCTTTTACAGGACTTTGCCTCCCGGGCTAAACTGGCAGTTCAAAACCTAGTACAGAAGGTTGGATTTTTTGGAATTTTGGCCTGTGCTTCAGTAAGTGAATTGTATTAAAAGTGAGAAATTTCACTAAATGGTGGGGTTATATTTTGATCCGATTTGTTCTAAAGATACACTGCTGAATGAATAAAAATGCTGTCACTTTTATTGGGTTTGCAATTCTGTGAATCATACACTTTACTCATTAAATGAACTGTTTTCTGTTAGATAGGTTCAGATCTTGTTTATTGACTTTTAAGTATTTTATCATGCAGTGATGACTTCAGACCTAAATGGCTTGATTCAGTAAGAATGAAAGAGAAAAATCTGTTCTCCCCATGAAGAATATATAATGAAGTACATTTAACCAAATAACAATGACTTCATTCTCCACATTTTATTTATTTATTTTGCAGACAGGGTCTCGCTCTGTCACCCGGGCTAGAGTGCAGTGGCGCCATCAGAGCTCACTGCAACCTCAAACTCCCAGGCTCAAGCAATTCTCCTACCTCAGCCTCCCAAGTAGCTGGGACTGTGGGTGCATGGCACCAAGCCCAGCTAATCTTTGTATTTTTTGTAGAGATTAAGTCTTGCTCTTGCTCAGACTGGTCTCAAACTCCTGGCCTCATGCAGTCCACCCACCTTAGCCTCCCAAAGTGCTAGGATTACAGGCATGAGCCACCACACCTGGCCAGATTTATAGATTAGAAGTCTTTTTTCAAAGTTTCAAGTATTAGTTACAAGAGGGAATTCATGTAAAACTTGTCTAAAGTAACATTAATTCCTGGCTAGGTAATGGGAACATCTGTGGCAAAAATAAAGACATCTTTGCCTACCATAAACTAAGAAGCCATTTAATGTCTTGGCCAGGCACGGTGGCTCACACCTGTCATCCAGCACTGTGGGAAGCTGAAGCAGGAGGATCTCTTGAGGCCAGGAGTTTGAGAACAGCCTCGCCAACATAGCATGACCCTGTCTCTACAAAAAATAAGAAAATTAGCTGCATGTGGTGTCACATGCCTGTAGTCAGAGCTACTCGGGAGGCTGAGGCAGGAGGATTGCTTAAGCCCAAAAGTCAAATTGAGGCTGCAGTGAGCTATTAATTGCACAACTGCACTCCAACCTGGGTGACAGAGAAGACCCTTTGTCTTTAAAAAAAAAAAAAAAAAGAAAGGAGGAAAGTCTTAAATTTCAGATTTGAAATTGACATTCCTTGGTGAGTTGGTATTTATCCTGGTCCTCTTTTGACATAATAGAAACAATTGTATTTGAGGTGGAGCACTTTGATCAAAGTTTTTTTTTGATAGCCTATACACAATTCTTGGTAGTTCAGTGGTGGCTTTAGCCAGAATACCTAGGCACCTGGTTGATTATGAAATAAACTGTGATTACGAATAAAATTCACAAAATTATTGTCTGCTGACATACAGCTACTTTATCCATTATATACTAGAACATGAATACGTCTTTGAGCTCTCTGCTACCTTAACAAAGCAAATGACCAAAAATTAGGGCACCAAAGTGATGTGATATAAGCATTATAGAGATTCTAAAATACACATATGCCTAAAGTACTATCTATTGGTCCTGGCAATATGAGAAATTTTCATAATCTAACTTCTTTTTAATGCAGAACCTCTTTATCACAGTATTGATTATAACTACTTGAGCAAGTTACAGGTATGTTGTAGTGTGATATAGTAGAGTGAGAATGGGCTTCGAAGTCAGGCTGACTTGGGTTCAGAAATCAGTTATGTCTCTTATTAGCTATGTAACCTCAGTCAAGTTATTCTCTTTGAGCCCCAGTTTTCCAATTTTTAACATGAGGCAATCAGATACTCATTGCCAAGGCTGATATGAGAATCTAAGATATATGTGAAACAATGAACAGTGCCTAGAACATAAATGCTCAATAATTTTTTATTGTGATTCCTCAGCCTTGCATCAACCACTGCATTCTAGGTATGAAGAAGCAAAAGGTTCTTTCCCTCTCCTCAAAGATCCTGAAGTTTAATGAGAGAGACAATTGAGATACAGTGATAAATAAAAGATACTGTGGAAGTCCAAAAGAATGGGATTAAACTAAGATGCCTAATGGATAATAATGCCTTAGCTTGGGGGCTAAAAGAACAAGCTTGGGAGCCACACTGCCTGGATTCAAATCCTGCTCTGCTGCCATTTATCTTGAACAAATTGCTTAACCTGTCTATCTCGCTCTCATCTGTAAAATGGGTATAATGATATCATATAAAGTGTGTTAATGATATAAAGCCCTTATAAAAGTGCCTAACAAGTCAAAGCATTCAATAAAAATTAGCTGTCATTATTCCTGGTGAAAATATAACTACTTTTGATTTATTGAAGAAAAAAATATTCTTTGGCACTCATCTACACTTGTGTCCTAACTGCTAAAAATCTTTCTGTGTCTGCTGTTCTATTTTATATTTGATTAGGTATAGTCAATATTTATCATAAATTGAAAGTTCAATTTTGCCCTCTAGGAAATTTTTAATACTTACATTTCTACATACTTGAGTTAAGGTAAAAAGGAGTCTAATAATTAGTTATTTTGTTATTAACACTTAAGATAAATAAAACTCGTAGTTGAGGGAATATCTCAAAGCAACTGCCTAGTTTTTATTACTAATCTTTCTTTCAGTATATTTAACATCACTAAAAAAATAAATAACATGCATATCTAATAAAAAATTTATTGATTATGCTCTTCTGAGAGTATCCAATGTAGAATGAAGTGTCCAACATTTTAACAAGTTCTAATTTTTGTCTACTCTGGTTTACATATCTCATATACTTTAAATTTATTTTCATTTCAAAATGAGTTATAACCTTATAATAAAGAAAAAATTATAATTTATAGAGTTGCGAGAGTCACATCAGAAAACACAAGAAATGGCAGATGTAATGCTGTGCAAATAATATTGTAAGAAATGATTGTAAGAAATGAAATTGTATAAAGCATTTGAATTTGAATGAGAAAAACAAAAATGAATTATTGAATCCAAGTGTTACTAACAAAAGAATACTTGAATTCTAACTTAGTAATGTTATTATTTTTTAAAGACCATATGTGACAAATATATTTTAAGCAACTAGGCTTTTCTTTCAAAGTTCAAAAATGAAATTATATGAATTAATTGGCTTACAAATGGTTCAGCCAACAGCCACAAGGGCAGAGTACTTCTGTGGGAGAAAAATGGATGAAATACTCAAAAACAGCTTGTGGTTTCTTTGCGTTTTTATATGAAATTGTCTTTTAGCATTCTTAAAATGTGAAAATGTTTGGAAAAGGTATTTGTTGTGAATCACTTCTTTGTCTGGAACTGAGCGAGTATTCAAAACATCTGAATCTGTGTGCTCTCGTATTTCCATACTCGATTTTCTTTCTAAAATATGTCACATGGCTTCACAGCCTTAGGTCTCTCATAAAATAAAATACAAAAATAACAGCATATCTGCCTATAAATATATTTGTGAATTTACTAGAATATTCACTAAACATGTGAGCACTTTCTAGATAATGTTTATATTGCAGGCTAAAGATTTTAGAACCCTAATAACTACTGAAAAAATCTTAAGGCTTTTTCTTCACTCATACCTCAACTTAGAAAAAAGCCACCAAATAGCCAAGAATCTACTGAATGGAATTAAATTCCTGCAGATTCATTGGCTTTATCCATCCAGTTCTCATGTGATGCTGTAAATAATATAATCAAAAGGATAGTTTGGTTTGCTGTGAGCAGATCGAACACCTAAGATAAATACAAGACCCAGCTCATAGACACATTAGAATACTTGCCTAACCTCCTTCTGAGTAGTATAGTACTGATCAGGGAACCCATACCTTGCTTTGCAGTATAAACAAGGCTTAAAACAGAGCACCACATATCAATGGATGATAAAATTAAATTGTTCTTGGATTATATATGGACGTCCTTTTTTTTCTCTTTATAGATTCCAAATCCTCTATTTGATCTGGCTGGAATAACATGTGGACATTTTCTGGTACCTTTTTGGACTTTCTTTGGTGCCACCCTGATTGGAAAAGCAATAATTAAAATGCATATCCAGGTAATTATATTCCCTGATTCACTGCCTAATGATGATGAACCCTTCACAAAGCAGTGAAACATATGCTTATTCCTATTATTTGTTAAGTTGTTAAGTTACTGTTAAGTTATAGTTTCTGCTTCTTTTGGCTGGTAGCTAGCTTACTTAGGTAATAAAGCATGGAATGTCATTTTGAGGTTAGTGAATCTTGTTTTCTTTCTTTCCTTCTTTCTTCCTCCCTGCCTCCCTCTTTTTCTTCCTTCCTTCCTTCCTTTTCTCTTTCCTTCCTTCCTTCCTTCCCTTTCCTTCTTATTTTATCTTTTGCCCTGTGAAACCATTTATCCATGACTTCTACCAAACAAAAATAGTGTTCCGGTATAAGAAAATGCACATCTTTTTTTATATACATAGTAAAAAAAAAAAAGTTTCTTTACTGACCACAAGCTGAGAGAATGTTGCCTTTCACTAATTCTTATTTTCTTTCACATACTCTATATAGCACTTCCTCTCATGGCACCAATGTCCTTTACCGAAAACCAGCCAGATGTTAGTGTGGGGGAGAATGGGGAAGAAAAGGGTCTCTGAAGAGGCGAGAAGATGTGGGTTGTGGTTAGAGAAGTGAGAATCTGCTAGTCCTCAAAGCCACTCTTAAAATCTTTAGGATAGGGTGTGTGTGAACACACACATGTGTATATAAATAGGAGAGAAAAGAGGCTAAGAACTTAAATGGGAGGGAAAGGGATATGTGTTTCTAGAACTGTGATATGAGTTGTTTCCTTCTGAGGGAAAATCTCACTAGAATAAAATAAAAATTAACTTGGAAAGAATTTGTTTTTAATCAGTGTAGTTTGCAATAAAGAGAAGTATTCACCAAAAGAAAGGCAAGAACAATGAAGTAGTATGTCTGCCTTCATATGATTCCGTAATACTTAAAAGTGTGTCTATCCCCAAAGTTTCTTCTTAACACCTTTCTACCTCTAGTTCTTAGAAGGGAAGATTGAAACAGGAAAACTTCAGCTGCTTCTACCTGCCCACTTTGTAATCTTAAATTTTGGCATTTGGGATGAGTTTGAGTCTGCCCTTTACTCTCCTTCCATAATAACTGCTCAGAATTTAAGGATATGTTTCTCTTCCTTCAAGGAATATATTTCCTCCCACTTACATTAAGTAGTTTGTTCAGTGAACACAGGCTTTTAAATATTAGAATGCTAGTTACTTTGGTTAAGACTTAAAATATCATAACAGGATTTTTTTAAAATACTAAAATATTATGGTGAATAATGTTATTTTATAAGGATCTGAAGATAATTTTTTCTATAATATTTTTAGTTCTTTCTGGGGGACAAAGAGAGCTATCATTTAGGTATTTGGAGTCCTTAATAACTAAGGAACAATGACAG